GCACTGGGGAGGCAGAAGCAGGGGATCCCTCTAGGGTTTATTGACCAGTGAGCTCCAGGTTCAGTGAGAGACCTTGTCTCAGAAAATAAGATAGAAAAGCAATAAGAAGATGCTGGACATCAGCCTCACATGTAACATGCATTCACACCACAAACGCACGTGTGTGGTCAAACAATGAGTGCATGATAAAATTTGAGAACCATTTTAAATAACATATAACGAGAATGAAACCTAGGGTGGAGGCAGGAGAGGGAATGTGGAGGGTCAGGCGGAGGGTGTGATATTGTTTATGGCATAGCAGGTGCAGAGTGTGGAGAATCTGCCATGTGAGCAGAGGCAAGAAGCTGGGAGACAGCTGGTCACTGGGGAAAGGGCACCTGGCTGAAGACAGAGGCCCTGCAGAGGTCCTCAGGCAGGAATGTGCTGATTTGTGGGAGGAGAGGAGAGAGACCACCTGACTTTTAAATTTTACAAAGATGCTCTAAAGTGCGCGTGCACTCTGAGCAAGAATAGAAGCAGAGAGGGGAAGGCCACGAGGCAGGGCTGTCAGGGAAGGACTCAGCCTCCAGGAACAGTCTTGGAGGTGGGAAAACCAGAGGTTGGATTCTGTGACATCTGTACATTGTTCTTTTCCTGTTCTTGTCTTTGAGATTATGATTATGATGGGGGCAGGTTCTGTGCCCCATGTCTTGGGTTGCAGAGCCCAAAAGGGAGAGGCAGCAGGGAGAAGCAGATGAATGATGGCCAGGCCCACTGAGGCTCACAACTGGACTTGGCCGCCTGCCACTCACCTCCCTGCTGCAGTCCAGATTCCACTCTGGTTAATAAGTACCTGGCCCCACACAGCTGCCTGTCTCAGGGAGGGCGGGGGATGGGAACCCACAGAGATGTCTTTACTCAACATTCCTTATGGGACACAGGGGGATGCTAATACCTTCCAGTCGAGTCCCTGACTCCCATCCCCAACTCTCAGATCCTTGAAGAAGTCTGGCGACATCTGGCTGGATGCATATCTCCATCAATGAAGACAGCGCCCTCCTGGGTGGCGAAGAGGGAAAGGATACAGACTCCAGCAATCACCGAGTCACTGGGCAAGATGGACAGCCCTCTTCACCCCCTGCTGGGGCAGCCTGCCTACCTGCCTGGTCCTGCTGCTTTCCTCAGTCCTCAACATTTTCTGTTCAAGAGCCCTGTGGCCATGGCACTTGTTCAACAGGACCAGGGGTGGAGCATAGCATGTTTTCCTAGAGCAAGAATTGGAGGAAAACTTGTTATTTTTATATAAAAAGCAACTCAGACACATGGAGCCAAGTGTTGAATTTTCATGGATTTTCTGCTTCAGACTTCCTGGAGGGGGCATCAGAGTGTCTAGATGGGACGGGATGTAAGGAGTTCCCTTCCACGCTGGGTACTCTGGGTCATGGCGGCAATCCAGCTCAGCTCCACCTCAGGGCTTGGCCCCTTCCTGTTCCTACACTCAGCAGCACCCTGGGATGAGTTATATCTCAAGGACCTGGGGTTGAGGGTCACATCTGCAAGAGCCTCTGAGTTGTAGGATGGAAAGCCCATGTATTGGTACTGGCCTCCTACAGTACTCCACACAGGAGGGTCCAGTAGTGGGGAGCTCTGCCAGACTTGGCATGGCACAACAGTTACAGTGCTGAATGGGCAGGGACTCGGGTGGCCATTCCATCCCTAAGTTCTTGGAATATGAGGACTGTTTCTTGAACAGGGGCTAGCCTAGAAATCATCACTGAGCCTGCAGCACCACCCAGGGGTATCCACACAACAGCAGTGTGGACCGTGTTTCATGCTGCCCCTAGTGGTGGCTCGGGAGTGCGCTCTCCCTCCAAATCCAGAGTTATCTAATACCTCGTGGAGACGCCTGCTTTAGGTGTCTTCCTGGAGCCGATTACTGTCCCTTCTTCCTCTCTGTCATCTATGTTAGCTCTTGGCAGTGGGTCACCTCCACTCACCTGAGTCCCACTTCCCTGCCTGTATGCTTCTCAGAGCAAAGATAAGGAGATCATAGACCATACTTATCAATGGGACAGGAAAAGGCCTTGGTGGCACCTTTGAAAGACCCCACTTTATCCTTTTTTTAATTGTCTATACAGCAGGCCTGGGTCTGGGTCAAGAAATAAAGTTTCCTGGGGGAAGCCAGGGCTTATTCTTTCAGTCCACCGACAGCCAGCCGCTGCCTTTGTGGGTGTGGCTGGCAGTGGGGAGATAAAGGCCTTGAGAAAGGACTGTGCAAACAGACTGTGTCCTTAAAGACCTCAACACTTTCCAAGCCCTGCTTCCTGTTATTGGTTCTCATCATTAACTCTTGAAGCAAATGGTTTGAAGACCCAAATGCCTTCAAAGTCCCAAGAAAAGCATCAACAACAGCAGAAGGCAGTAGGGCCATGACTGTGATGTCCTGGTCTTGAAACACTGGGTGGCTATGTGTTCCATTTATTGTGAAGCCAGTCTGGCTAGAAATGTAAAATCCTATCAATCAATAGAACATTGGTGTCCAGAAATGTACAGAAGTTTCCTCCAGCCCCTTCCCAGGTCATCAGGTGATCTGTGGGGACCCACTGCTGTCTGGTCCATCTTGCAACAGCTATCCTCACTATAGGCCTTCCCAAGTCAGCTCAGCAAAGCCAGCTGAGCCTCAGTGGGCTCACAGCATGGTAGCCCAGGCTAGTCCAAGTGGCTGCAACCTTTGCTCCAAACCTTCTTGCTAGGGGCCTCCCTCTCCTCCACCCCCAGTGGCCCTAAAGGCTCCCACGTGTTTTGCTGGATGTATGAGGAACTAGTCAAGCTGCTGATCACCTCTGGGCCTCCAGCTTTACACACAAATGTGCAAGCACAGATATCTAGACAGCTCCAACAGCCCCACCTCTGGGGTCTGGTGCATGGCGCGTGCTCATTCTACCTCAAAGCTGGTAGGGACTGTTTTCAGAAGCACCCTATTCCTTTATTTGTTATCGTCTCCTCCACCCGGACTAATCACCCCACTGTCTGCCTCGACCCATGAAGCTTCCTGTACAGTATGGCATTTGGCATGGTGGGGGAAGGAAAGAAATAGCCTCGCTAACTGGGGTAGAAGCACGAATTCCCCACGTATGCTCTGAGTCATCTGTTGTCACTGTGCTGATTCAGGCTAAACGCCTTCCCCACTCTGGTCTTAGCCCTTGGCCTGGGAGGTGTTAGGGTTTGATAACTCCAGGCTTTGAATATTAGGGTCATAACTTTAGTAGGGGACAGAAACCCACAAACTGGGGGATATTGGTCAAGAGTCTCAGGCAAGCACTGTAACGAAAGGAACAGGTACAGCCATCCTCAGCTCTGGACCTTAGGTGGTGCTCAAGGGCAAGGCAAGAGGCAGGAGTGTGTGTAAGGTAAGGTGAGGTAGTTACCACAGGATTTCCCTGGTATCTTCACAGCCGAGACCACTCAGCCCTGCAGTGTTCTCTTCAGTCACCCTCCTGCTCCCCAGATCGCTGGGTGTCAGATGCCATAGACCCTGGGATTCACAGTTGGCAGGTTGATACAAAGGAGAGGGGTCCGCTTGTTTGTCCCGGCTAGCTTACACCCGAAATAACCACACAGAAACTGTATTAATTAAAACAGTGCTTGGAGATTAGCTCTAACTTCTTATTGGCTAACTCTTACACATTAGTTTAACCCATCTCCATTAATCTGTGTGTCGCCACATGGCAGTGGCTTACCAGAGATTCTAAACAGCGTCCATGTCAGGCGGAGGATCCATGGCTTCTCTGACTCTGCCCTTCTTCCTCCCAGCATTCAGTTCCGTCTTCTCTGCCTAAGTTCTGCCACATCAACTAGGCCAATGAGGTTTCTTTATTCATTAACCAATGAAAGCAACACACAAACAGAAGCCCAAGCAGCAAGTGGAAGAAAGGCATAGTTGAGTAGTGAGGATGTGTTCACCAGAGTCTGCCACCTCCAAGGTCTCCAGTGGACTTATCACTCAGGTGAGGCCAGGGCTTGTGCTGACGGACAGAAATCAGCAGCCTTGGAGCCAGTCTACCCAAAGTGTCGAAACTGTGGCACCAAGGGTCCTGGAGGTGAGGTGGCAGAGGACTCATCCAGGGCCACTCAGTGTCTACCACCCCAGCCCTGTTCCATCCAGCCTCAGTGTAGTCCCTGGGAACCATTTCCACACAGTGGCTACTATCCCTGTTCCTCTCTGGCTAGGTCCTGGTCATCCATGGGGATGAGATCTCTGCTGGAGCTCTCCCTGGCCTTTCTGGAGTGCTGGCCACCATGTGCCTGATGTCTTGCTCTTCCTTGACGTATCTGGAGTGACATGGCCTGCTGAGCCTGTCAGAGATGGGTGCTCAGAGAGTAGCAGCATGGGTCCAATCACAGGGTGAACTGGGCAAGTACCTCTGGTGTAGATTATTCTGGCTTCCCAGATTGGAGGTCAGACAGACCTAAGACCAGAGTCCCCAGGTTAGTAACCAGGGCTGGGATGCTACAGGCCTTCCCCAGGCTACAGAGACTCACCAAGCTTCCACATGGGCACAGCAACACAAAACAGACACCCGTTTCCAGAACCTTCACTGCCTCTTGGTTCTGTTTGCTACCCGCCTTAACAGTTAGGCCTTTCTCCTGTGGGGCAAGTGCCTCCCTTCGATACATACATCCACGCATTACCATACCCATGCATACCCGTGACATTAGCATACAAGAGCGTCAGCCATCCACTGTTCTTACTCAGCTACAGGCAAGTGAGAATAAAATTACATTTTTTTTTATTTCCCAAGAAAAGTAGAGGTGGGGAAACAATGTGATACAAATTTCCTTACAGGTTCTCTGCCTCTGTGGAGCAATAAGCAGTTGGTCTCTTGGCTGGGGGTCCTGGAGGGCTTCCCCTGTGCAGGCTGAGCCTCTCCAATTTAAATATTGGTTAGTTCAGTTAGATCTCAGGATGACACAGCATGGGTCCCTTCCGGATACAGCCAGCAGATATCCCCCCTCCCACCCGCCCTCACACATCCCTCATACCTTCAGCCTTCCTGACCTCCCCCTTCCCTCTACCCTCTTGCATGATCCTCGCTGGGTATTCCCAATGGCCCTCCTGAGAGACGCCACCCCACCCTGTTTCTCCTAACCTGATAGCAGCAGCTTCAAGCCACAGCTTACAGTATGGCCTTGATGGCGAAGCCTAGCTCTACCCGAAGGGCCTTGGGGGAGCCTGGCAAGGGGCATCTAGATTACCCTCAAGCCCAGCCCTCTCTTACCCTCCTATCAAAATGCATTCTGTAGGAAATGTTATGACAACAACATCTAAAACAAACAAACATTGTAAAAATAGGAAAGAAGCAGTGAGCGGTCAAGTGCTGGCCATGCTGGCCGTGCTGGTCACCCTGTCCTGGGGAGAGCAGCTCGGAGGCTCTCCTGCAAGGTCCACATCTTCCAGTCTCTAGGGACTGGCCAGAGGATTTGAAAAAAGGTCTGACCCCCACCCCAGGGTCTTGGGGCTTTGAATTAAGAAGCATCTCGTGCTGAGCCCACACAAGGTCTCTGGAGTTGGGTAGATGGTGAACTAGAATCTGCACAACCCCAGGGCCTGGAGCTGTGATGGTGGGCATGGGAGAACTTTTCCTTGGGCCTCGAAGTCTAAGCTGGCCCTGGGCAGCCAGAGGGAGGCCCTTACATACCAATCCCAGCCAAGGGAAGGACACCCAGAACACAAATTATGTCTTCACCCAAACAACCAGACCATAGGCTGGCAGGGAGTATAGAGCCAAGTCCTGGACCCTGCTCCACAGAGCGGGTCTGTGGGGACAAGGAAGGGAGGATTAATGTCTGACGGCTAGGCTGCCAAGAGCAGAGTCTTATACCAGGGGTCTTTTAGGTGCAGAAGTTAGAGGCAGAGATGCAACCACTAGCTTCAGCCACTTCTCTCCCGCTCTTTGGGAGAAGGACCTGGGAGGCAGAGGCAGAGGGCACAGGGCTAGGGCTGACAAAGGGGGAACCCCGTGAGGATAGGATGGGGGGGGGTGGGGAGGACAAGAAAGGATGCAAGACCAAGTATGGGGAACGTGAGCCAGTGGACACTTTAGTCTCATGAAAACCCTTCAGAACAAAAGCCCTCCCCTCCCTCTGGCCCTCACTCCAGCTGTGCCCCTCCCCCAGGGGTGCCCTGAGGACTGCCTCTTCATTTATGGAGGTAGGCATCCAGCCACAGCTCCCCAGACTTCTTCAGGGACCTGTAAAGACACAGAGAGAGGACCAGGGCTCAGGAACCAGGATGGAAAGGGGCCAAGGCCTCTAGGCAGTGGGACATGAGGGAAGTCATGCTATCCATCTCAGCTACTGACCAGAGCTTGCCCCTTACCACACAGGCTGTGGGCAAGGAGAGAGAGGAGGTCCTCCTCCAGCCCTGAGTGGACCAGAGGTCAGCAGACCCTACTGTGAGCTGGAGTCTCTACTGTAAGGCCTGCCATATGCCTCTCACCTCCTCAGCCCCACCGCACCTCTGGCCCCTCCCGGTGCCTCAGAGCCCTAGCACCTGCCAAGCCCACACCCCTCACCTCACAATGTCCAGCAGGGCCCTCAGCAGTGACTTCTCCTGGTACTTGATGCCGTGCTTGGTGCAGAGAGACTTCACTAGCGGGGCGACCTTGTGCAAGTTGTGCCGTGGCATGGTGGGGAAGAGGCTGAGGGGGCAGGTAGGCAGAGTGAGCGCAGGGCAGGCCCCATGCTCTCCACCTCTCCCTACAGCCCAGGGAGGGAGGCAGGTCTGAGGCCCTATCTGCAACCCGGATAAGACTACGCAGCTCCCACCACCTGTCTACAGGGGCTACTAGTGATGTACAGAGGAGCGATCTATGAGCAGGGGGACTCCAGAAAGCCATATTGGTACTGCACAGCCAAAGACAAGGGTCTGAGTGTTATGGCTCATGCCTGTAGTCTCATTATGGGGTGGACAAGGCAGTTCAACTTGTTCCTGTAAGTTCAACTCCCAGCTTCAAAAAAATAAGAAACAGATGGGAGAGCCGGGCGATGGTGGCGCATGCCTTTAATCCCAGCTCTCGGGAGGCAGAGGCAGGCGGATCTCTGTGAGTTCGAGACCAGCCTGGTCTACAAAGCTAGTTCCAGGACAGGCTCCAAAGCCACAGAGAAACCCTGTCTCGAAAAACCAAAAAAAAAAAAGAAAAAGAAACAGATGGGAGACGATGAGAAGAATGATAAACGATGAGACAAAGGCAGATCCACTAGGGACAGTCCCTCAGCCATCCGGGGAACCAGATAGGCTATCGATCAGGTCCTCAGTTTCCCAGTCAATAAAGTGGGAGTGAGTTCCTCTGCCCTGGGAGCATTATAGAACTGAGAGATGGTCTTCACGCTTTCTGTATCTGCAGAGCAGCCACACAGGAGAAAGCCCCTCTCCTGCCCAGCTGTGTTCTCAGATGGGTGCAGTGGCCTTGCCAATGAGAGAAGATAGACCTGTTTGGTACCCTTGGCCCGTGGGCTGGTGACCGCTGCCCTCCCAAACTCCTTGTCTTCCCCGCCCCACCCCCACCTTCCTGGGCCACACTCACTGGTGCTCAATCTGAAAGTTGAGATGCCCGCAGAACCAGTCATTGAAGAAGGACTGCTCCACATTGCAGGTGGCTGTCAGCTGCAGAGGGGACAGGGGATAAGTGGCTGGGGATAAAAAGAAAACCAAAGGACCTAGACTTACCTCATAAAGGTCACCTTACCCGGGGTCTCAGGGCCACCTCTCTAGTTGTACCGTTCTACAGGGAAGCCTCAGCCCACCCAAATTCCCCAAGGATCCTCTGGAAGATTCCTGACATTCCTTCCATGTTTTCTTCTGTGTCATTCGTAACTCAGTCTGGCCTTGGACTCCTGATCCTCAGTCTCCCTGTCCCAAGAACTAACAGTACAAGTATGGGCCACCATACTGGGTTCACTGGGTACCGGAGCTCAAATCCAGGACTGTATGCATGCTAGGCAAGCCTCAGCTGAGCTACATCCCTAATCTTTCCCATCACCCTTTCCTGCTTAGCTCGGAGGCTCCCAACAGGCTACAAGTAGAACTAAGGAAGCCCAGCATAGTCCTGGATCCACCGAAGTAGCCAAATCTGGGTGGAGGCATGAACAGTGGGGTCCGGGCTTTGCCGGGTCCCTCACCTGGCTGCTGAACCAGTCCCGGTAGTGATCAAGATCAATCTCCATGACGATGTGGTTCATCTGAGTGACCCACACGAACCAGTGACTCTCCAGAAACCTAGAAGACAGTGCAGCTCAGTGCAGCTTAGCCTCAGGGCGGGGTGCGGGAAGCCACACAGAAACAGACCCGCTGTACCTACCCTACCCCCACGGCAGGTAGGAACAGGCTTCACATCACAGAGTCAGTGCTCTCAGAAGTACAGGGTGAGCCAGCAAAGCTGGGGTACCTGATGAAGTTGAGGAAAACCAGGGCTCCCAGGATGCCGTAGAAAGGGATGTAGGTGTAGAAGAAACGCACATAGTAGCTGATGGACCAGGCCAAGTCCTATAGGGAAACATGATTAGATTTGACCCGCCCTACCCTATTTGGCATGGTGTACCTAACCACAGAGGCATGTATACACACAGCTCACTCCTTGGCACAGGTGCTCAGAAGAAACCACAGCAGGCTGCTAGGAAGTTGGGACACTGGGCCATACACAGTCTGACACTTGCTTAAGCTACCTGTTTACATGGAGTTTGCATGCTGAGTTTCAGGAAAGAAATGGGATATTGGCTAGCAGGTAGCCATAGATCCAGAGGACTGTGATGTGAGCCCCCAACATACGGTCAGTCACGGGCCACCCTTAACCTTGTGCCTGCTCAGGCACCTCGATTTCCTTCCTTTCTCAGGAGGGAAAGGGCCAGGAGACACACGCCACCCCTCCCTGCAATCCAGCCCAGGTCACTTCTCAGGTTGGACTCTCTTCTTAGGCCCTCCCCCTCCTCACTTTGTCTGCCCCTCCTTGGAGTTGGTAGCAAGGTCCTAAGCTTGGAAATCTCTTGGGAAGCCTCTGCCCCCTGTCACAGGCTCACAAGCAGTCATTCTGCAGAGATCCCTGTCTCTCCACTTCCTCTGCCACTCAAGTCATGTGTCTTGGCTGGACCACAGCAAGAGCCTCCCTTGGCTTGTTCTCCTGCCGATGGTCCTCATGCCTCCAGGGTAACCAATGACCTCTGCTCCAAACAGGTCCCACCTCCTGCTACAAGACCCTCCCATGTAATCCAAGTGGCCATAGAGCTTTGTAGGATCCAGAAGTCCTCTGGCTTCAGCTCCCAAACTCAGCTCTTTGTTTTGGTAGTCGGAAATGCTCGTGCCTAGCCTATGCTTACACAGAAAGTTCTTTCAATAAGGACTGGCCTCTCTGAGGCAGTGGGAAAACCCTGCAGAAGGGCTGGAGAGTTGGTTTACTGGATAATAGCATTGGCTACTCTTCCAGGGGACACGGTTCGATTCCCAGAACCCATACTGAGGCTCATGGGCATCTGTAACCTTAGTTCCAGGTGACATAATGTCCCCTTCTGGACTCTGCAGGCACCAGGCAGTGCACAGATACACATGCAGACAAGCAGACAAAACACTTGTACACATGAAATTAAAGACGAAACCAAAACCAAACCAAAGATCTTGAAATGACAACAGAATCTGGCACACTGGTGACTTAGTTCATGCACAAAACAGAGAAGAAAACCAGGATCATATTGATGGTGACAACATGGCAGATTCCAGAATGATTTAGAGAACAAGGGTGGCCTTAGTCAGTGCTTTCTTGGTTGCAAGGAATTGAGGCTGGCCATTCCAGGTGATCAGAGTGCTGTCAGCTGAGTAGGAAAAGGAGCATCTCAGGAGGGTCGAGGTAGGAACAGATGCAACAGCTAGAAGTGGCTGAAGACAAGATGCTCATATCTGGCATGGTGCTGGTTTTGGTCAAGAGGAGGCACAGAAAGCTCGTCATACTTCCATCATCCCCTACCTCATACCCTGGCCTGAGTTTGAACTCATGCATGCTAGGCAAGCACTCTACCACTGAGTCACATCCCTAACCCCACTTTAATCTACTGTATAAATGCAGTGCATAAATATGTATGTATGTATATGTGTGTGCATATGTATAGGATGTGGTAAACACACACACACACACACGCACGCACGCACACACACACACACACACAGAGAGAGAGAGAGAGAGAGAGAGAGAAATGCATGGCCAGGCATGGCTAGGGAAGTAGAGGCAAGAAGATTGTGAGTTCAAGGCTAGCTTGGGAGATATAGTGAGGTCCTATTTCAAAATTAAGTAAGTAAATAAATAAATGTATGGAAAGTCTGAATAAACAACAGGGAGACTACCAAGGTAATTTGCCTGGGATAATCAGTCCCAGGAAAGTGGGGTCTGAAAAGTATCCCAGGCAGTGCTGCGGGTGCCTGTGCTGGATCATGAGTACTCTTTCAGACTCTTAGGGCTTCCCATCTCCATTCTCAAGGCTAGGGTCTCCCAGCCCCCACAGTATGTACCGGTACAAGACAATTCTTCACCATGAGGCTTTGTGGGATGTTTACCACCCCTCTTGGCTAGATGCTGGGCTAGCATCATCTTCCCACTGCTAACTCTGATAATCATAAATGTCTCCAGATACTGCCAATAGCCCAGCAGAACTGCTCAGGACCTGGTTACAGCTGCTCTGGAGGCAAGGCCTGGGAGCCTGTCAGAGTCCCCTGGCTCTGCCAATTTCCCTTCCTGCTCTTCCTAGTTGATGCTTTATTCTTTGTGAAGCAAACAACACGGACACACACACACACACACACACACACACACACACACACAATAAATCTAGGGATCTAAAGGTGACTCATTTTCTCATAACTGAGGGTCTTAATTTGATCCCCCAGGATTCCCTGCATGAATGGTGATGTGTGCTTGTAACCCCAGTGTTGAGGAGACAGGATCAGGAAGACTGCTGGGGCTCTCTGGCAGCCAATCTAGCCTAATTAGTGAGCTCCAGGCCAGTGAGATCCTGACTCAGAGGAGGAAGATGGTATTCCTATGGATGACACCCAAGTTTGTCGTCTAGCTGCCACAAACATGGGCACACAGAAACTGTAACGCTCATTACAGCACAAAACACAATAGCTGTATGTGTGTGTGCATATGCCTAGGCTGTGGTACACACATGCGCGCGCGCGCGCGCACACACACACACACACACACACACACACACACACAGCACCAGCGAGTGAGTGAAGCTCTAAGATGCCCTACAGATATATGGTGCTGCTGTGTGAAAGTGAGGAGGCTCAGTATGGGGGGTGTGGGTAGAAGGATGTGGCATCAGGAGTTCACTATGTCCCTTGGTGTCATACTGGGCAAGGCACAAACTTTCAGTCTCAGTAATTCTCATTGTGAAACTTTGCTGTTGTCTTCATTGATGTGGGGTTCTTTTGTTTGTTGGTTGTTGGTTTTGTTTTGAGACAGTCTTATCTTGTATCCCTGACTGACCTGGTGCTCACTATTAGACCAGGCTAGCCTCAAACTCACAGTGATCCTCCTGCCTCTGCCTCCTAAGTGCTGGGATTAAAGGCGTGTGGCACCATATGCAGCCACTGATGTGATTTCAAAAGGCTAAGAACACACACTAAGGGGCCGTGCACTTGTCTGCTCTCTCCTGAGAGCAGGGACCATGTTTTCACCCCAGCTTCAAGTCTCTGCCTGTGGGAACGACTCCCCATAGCTTACTCTACCATGGGTAGATATTCATCTTGTACAAAAATCACAGTTGTACCTCTATGTAAAACCAAGCTTGCCTTCTCAAACCCACACACAGCCTGCCTCCATCCCTGGAGGGACCTCTAAGCCTATTGTTTTAGGTAGAACATGCCCTCTGTGATGGCTAATTTTGGTCGTCAACTTGACTACATCTAGAATCAACTAAAAGAATCACAGAAGAATGAAGCTTTGGCTTTTTGCCTGCTTGCCCCCACTCTTACTGCCAAATTCATCCATCCTTTTGCCGTGGCATTCCTTCATTGATGTTAGAATCCACTCTCTAAGGATCCTCTGGGACTCCAGCACCAAACTGAGACTGCTGAGACATCCAGTCTCATGGGCTGAACGACTACCAGATTTTTGGCTTTTCTGTCAGGAGACAGCCATTGTACTACTCTGTCCACTGCCTATAAGCCACTCCGGTAATCGTGTGTGTGTGTGTGTGTGTGTGTGTGTGTGTGTGTGTGTACATTAATTTTATCAGTTCTGTTCCTTTAGAGAACTCTTAACACACTTTCCAGACTCATACACTGACATTCTAACCCCCAGCACTTCAAAAGGCAATGTCTTTGGACATGGCTAAAGTCCTTGCTAACAGAACTCATTAACACAGGTCATTCCACATGGGTCCTAATGCAACGGGATGAGTGTCATCCTATGAGAAAGGAACAAAGATGGGGGTACAGCTCAGCTGGTAAAGTGCTTGCAACTTTAATGCCCCAAACCTATGTACAAAATGGTGTGCTGGACACCATGGCACACACTTGCAATCCTGGTGCTGGGGAGGTAGAGTCAGGCAGATCCTGGGGCTTGCTGGACAGGCCAGCCTAATCTATAAGCTCCCGGTCAGTGAGAGACCCTGCCTCAAAGGAAGTGACACCGAGGTTTCTGTGGTGGGTGAGTGGAATGCCTCTGCAGAGGCTCGTACATTTGAATATTTGGGTGCCAGCTGGTGGAACCGTTTGGGAAGGATTAGGAGGCCTTGTTGAAGGAGCTGTGTCACCGGGGGTGGGTTTTGAGGTTTCAAAAGTGCACATCATCCCCAGTTAACACTCTGCCCTTAGCTGTGTCTCAAGATGCGAGCTCTTAGTTACGGCTCCAGCGCCATGCCTGCCTGCCTGCCTGCCTACCGCCATGCTCCCCGCCACAGTGGTCAAGAACCCTCACCCTCTGAAACTGTAATCCCCCAATAGTCTTTCTTTTATAAATTGTCTTGATCATGGTGTCTTGTCACTTGAACAGTAACTAAGACCATTGTCATCTGGTCTCCACATGCACACACATGCAAACACACCTATACATATACATGGATGAACAAACACACACAAATACACATTAGTAAAACAGGGGAACATGGGAACACAGATACAAAATGGCCTAGAAGGAAGATAATGAAAAGAGAGACAAAGAGAACCTGGTCATCTACCAGTTAAGGGGAGGGACCTGGATCCCCACCCCTACTCCCCAGGCTGCTGTCAGTTGGTTTTAAGAAAATATGTTTCTATTGCTGAGGTTTTCCACTTCCAGTGGACAGTCACATTGCCCCCGGGAACTTTCTAAAGAACTCTGCAAGGGCAATGACTGTCAGGTAAATTCCCTCCAGGTATGTATTAGAGGCATCGTCACAACTGACATGCTGTAGCCTTCATGACCTTCTTGGCTCATGGCTTTCTTGGCTGGTGGCCTCAGACACAGTCCCCTCCTAAGACTGATAAAATGGCTACACTTACGAAGAGATGTCTGGGGATTTGCAGGCCCAGAGAGGCACCAGGGGCTCAGTGCCCCAATCACACTCACCCACTGCTAGGCAGCACCATTTGACTTACCACCCAGTCCCTGCGGACAATCATGGTCTTGATGATCTGGTACTGGAAGTACACAGGGATGAGCAGCGGTGGTCCGACTGCAGAGAGAGCAGATGGCCGTCAGAGGTGAAGGAACTTGTCACCACCTGCGGGGCAGCTTAACAGTCAGGTGTCTGGAAGTCTAGAGGAAGGTAACGGGTCCAGACAAGTTTGCACAAGCTGGCTGCCGGCACCCTTCTCTTGAGTAGGCACACCGCCAATTTGCCTCTTTGAGAAGGGTGTGGGAGGAAATGCGGCAGATGGGCACACCGGGGTGAGAGCGCTGCTGGGGACTTCTGGTACTCGTACTCACCCAGGAAGAAGTATTCATGCTGGTGGTTGTAGGGCAGGTAGTTCAGCTTCTTCTTGCCGTACTGAGGAGAGAGGAAGGGAGTGAAAACGAGACTCAGTCCCCCACCTCCAACCTTCTTTCCACTCCACCGACCTCGGTGGAGACCTCATCTATTTCCCACCTATCTGTATCTGGGTTCAACAAGGCTTCCGCTGCCAATTTCCTTGAGCCTGGCTACACTGTAGTGCTTTTACCGGAGTTAGGTTGAGTTATGCTCAGCTACCTTTCCGCAATGCATCAATTAAGGAAATGGAGAAAACAGAGAAGGGAGATTTAGTCAGTGTGATCACACTGTGAAGAAAAGAATTAAGAGGTCCAGTAAAACACACTACCCCACACCCCTACCCATCATTGGGATCCTAAAAAGAGGTTTGGGTTTAAACCAAAAGCAAGAGGTATATATGACTAAGCGGGTCTGGTCAAGATGTGGCCCTGCTTGTCACTGACCTATCTTTGTCTCTGTTCCAGTCTTTCCTGCAAGGTGGTCTGACAAGTTCTCAGAATTGGGTGAGATCTCTCTGGGAGACAAGCTCTTCCCTGGCTGGCACCAGGCTTCAGCCTTTTCCTTCTCCCAGCATGTAATTCCTGGGTAATTTCCAATTTCTTGGGGTCTGTTATTCAATAGTCTGAGAGCCAAACTGTTTTAGAATACCTTCATTCCTGCCAGCATCGTGAGGCTAAAATCCCAGGCCAGCCCTCAGTTTGGCTGCCAAAGTTCAGGCTCACAGTTAATCACTACCCAAGGACATGAGAAGTAGGCCTCCTGTTTGTCTGTCTTTTCTTTCCTTTCCTTCTTTTTTTTTTCTGTTGTAATTTTGTTGGAAGTGTTGGAAATGGACTTCAGGGCCATGTTAAGCAAGTTCTCTGCCACCCAGCTACACTCCTAACCCTTGGGTGAAGATGGAGATGAACAATAAAAAAGTTTACATAAGCCTAGGTACCCCACGAGGAACTTCTGGGACTGCCTCTACCTCTACCCCTTCGGGAATGACAAAGGCTCCATGGTCTCAATGGGGCACTCCGTGGACACTGTTAACAGCTAAGAGAAAGCAACAAGAACCAGGAATTCTTAACAGTCACTCCTGGGAACACCTATTCTAGAGATTTTACAGTTATTTCTCAAGGTTAATCTCTTCCCCAGCAGTTCTTGACACAGGAGGAAGCCAGTTAGGCAGAAGAGGCCCTACACGACTGAAGAGATGGCTCCTCTGTTAGGAGCACTTGTTCCAGAGGACCCAGGCCTGGCTCCCAGCAGGTGACTAGCAACCATCTATAACTCCAGCTCCAGGGGATCCGATGCACTCTTCTGACCTCTCTTGGCCATCACGCACTCACGTGGTGCACACACACACAAGGACAGACAGAGCAGTTATATACCTAACATAAAATAAGCACGGAATAAAATAATAGAAGCAGCAGCAGCAGTCAGCCTTTAATCCCAGGGCCTGACCCCTAGGGAGCAGCCCACCCAACACTGCCACACAGCAAGGAGCACCTGTGCTTTTTGCTTGCAGTGCTGGATGCGGGGGGGGGGGGTGTGTGTGTGTGGAAGGGATGTGTAAGCCTGTGCTAGGAGTTAACAGATCCAAACGTATTAGATGCTGCTTCTTGCCAACACAGAGCCCATGCAGGTCCCCAGGTCTCTCTGAGCATGTCTGGATTTCAAGTTATTGGTTGTTAAGCATTGCCAATGGGAACTTCAACATAATGACAAGTTGACTCCAGGGCAATGCCACCCTTCCCTCTCCAGACCCAAAACTTATGTGTTCTCCTAGAACACTTCTGGGGATCGGGAGAGCAGAATGAGTTACAGATGAAAGAAAACTTGGATGTCTCCTAAGCTGACACCTCTGCCCCTCCAAGTGAAAACAGAGTGAGAAGTGTGTGTCAAAATCACAGAAGTCCATGGGCTCCCACAAGGTAGGGGTGCGGATGGGAACAAAGTCCAGTCTGTCCCCAGAATGTGTGTCTTGGTGCCAGTGGCCATGGTCACACGCCTGCTGAAGGACAACCAGAAATGATCACTTTGTTCCTTGTAGCCTCCTGTGTCTTGGCAAGGACCTCATGCATTCCCAGAAAGTATGTCATGTACACAGAGTCTGTCATTAGAGTCAGGCCTGAGGTTGGCCTAAGACAGGTCAGAGCCAGGGAAGCCTCAGAGGGGCCTTTGATGGTTTCCCAGGAAAGGTAGGGGACATGAAAGGTGGGCACAGAGGGACGAGAGATACCTCCTAAGGTGCCCAGTGAGTTCTGGGAGCAGCCGCCAGGGGAACATGAGGACAGGCCCTGAGTCCTGCTCTGACCTCCTCCCAGGAGCCAGTGAACTGGCACCCAAGCCCAGACTCTGAATGCAGGCTTCCCAGCCCTGGTTGCCCCCTTTATCTGTTCCCTCTGGAGACAGTGCTGGCTAGTTTTATGTCAATGATATGAAGCCACTGGAGAGGAGGGGGCCTCAACTGAGAAAACGCCTCAGTAAGATCAGACTACAGTCTGGCCTGACTGCAGGGCCTTGTCTTAGTGACTGATAGGAGCAGATCCTGCCCATTGTGGGTGGGGACGCCCCTGGACTGGTGGTCCTGGGCTCTATAAGAAAGCACACTGAGAGCCGGGCGATGGTGGCGCACGCCTTTAATCCCAGCAGCGGCAGGCGGATCTCTGTGAGTTCGAGACCAGCCTGGTCTATTAGAGCTAGTGCTAGTTCCAGGACAGGCTCCAAAACCACAGAGAAACCCTGTCTCGAAAAAAAAAAAAAAAAGAAAAAAAGAAAGCACACTGAACAAGTCATGGGGAGTAAGTTAGGAAGCAGCATTCCTCCATGGCCTCTGCATCAGCTCCTGCTTCCAGGTTCCTGCCCCATTTGAGATCCTGTCCTGACTTCCCTCAGTGATGGACTATGATGTGGCAGTATAAACCAAATAAACCCTTTCCTCCCAACTTGCTTTTAGTCATGGTGTTTCATCATGGCAATAGTAACCCTAACTAAGACAGGGACTGAGCATCAAGGACGATCTTCAGGTCAGCAGAGGCCGGAAGGCCCCTTAGAGGACTATGGGAGAGGGTCACCAGGAGACCATTTGAAGGTTGTATTTGGATAGCCAGTACTGTTTCCATTGGTTTATGGTCACCGTGGGGGATAACTGAGACGGTATGGCAGTTGGTAAGCATTGTTGGCTTTCAATATCCCCAATTGACCCAACATGGCCAGGCCACCCCAGGCAGTGGCAGGTCTCAGAACCAATCTCTATGGATGCCCAATCTTAGGGAGGCAGGAACCCAGCATTTGGAAACAACTCTCCTTTAAACCAAACTGCTTAACCTCTGTGACCTTTGGGTTCCTTGAGGCAAAGTAGAGGTATGGTGCGTACTTCATAGGGATTCTGAGACCCCAATGAATGAAGGAGATACAGAGGCATTATGGGATGGTGAGCAGTGTACTTATAGTGACATACGCATGCACAAAGTGACATGCTGACACAGCACTGCATGTCTGTTTCCAACTCAGCAGCCTCTTAAGGGACAGCTCCAAAGGGATGTTAGGGAATGGCTGAGCCACCTCTCTTACTCAAAGCTCATTTAGATGGTTAATACTGACTATCAACTTCCTGGTGAGTCTCAATGGAGTCCCTTATGGTTGGAAAACCCAGATGCAGGTGCACCATGCCGTGCATTAGGGTCTTAAACTGAATAAAAAGAAAAAAAGCAAGCCGAGCACCAGCATCCATCTCTCCCTGCTTCCTGACCAGCCCTCCACACTGATGGACTGAATCCCCGCGAACTGTAAGCCAAAGAACCCCCCCACCGCTAAGATGTTTCATGTCAAGCTTTTCAGTCAAAGCAATGAAAAAACAAACAGGCACACCCACAAAGCACAAACTGTGGTCTGAGGGACACCAGGCCTTGCCCTGTGATGCTTCTCCAGCTTGTTCTACTTGGCTCATGGCTTGTCAAGTCAGGGGATCAAGAAATCGATGCAGAGAGGAGCTTTAGAACGCTCCGAGTTAGGAGGGTGTACATGTGGTTCTTTTCAGAAAGCTGGACTTACCAACAGACAGTACCAAGGGCTGGCAAGCTGGTGTCCTGGGTGGTAGCTCTACCATGACTTTGAGTATGTCATTTTCTTTCTGCCTTAGAGGTTCTAGTTACATAATGGCCAATTATCACAGGTTAAATAAAGAGTATTCGGTGTTGTCCATAGCTGGGGTGCAGGTCCACAGACTCACTCATCAAGTTACTCTTCCTTACAGCTGGGAGGTGCTGAGGCCAAAGTAAGGGGACCAGAGGATCCTACTCGGCTCCTCTCCTGTCCCACAAAGGAAGGAAGCTGGGGGAGTCAGCACAAGCCGAGGGGAGGAGCCAGGAAAACAAACAAGACTTTTACTAACTAATCTGTTGTGACCAGAGCCCAAGATGGAGAAGGCAGCACACAGAGCTCTCATCGAACTGGGACAGCTGGAACCAGCAAAGGGCAGGAAATTGAACGTGCTGCCGGCCCTGGTGTGACGAGCTTCTTCACCACAGGCCAGATGTGATAGTTAATAATGCCTGTCAACTTGACAAGATCTAGAACCACTTAGGATAAGCCTTCGGGACGTGTCTGTGAGGGATTACTTAGGGACAGGTTAATTGAAGTGGGAGATCCCCTTACCTGTGGGTGGCACTACTCCTTAGGCTGCAGTCTAGGACATATATAAAACAGAAAGCAAGCTGAACAGCAGCATTCTCCTCTACTTCATGACTCTGAACACAGTGACCGGCCAGCCCGGTTCCTTCCACCATGCCTCCTCTATCATAAAGGAATGACTACCCCGGAAATCTAAGCAAAAATAAGTCCTTTCTTTCTTAAATGGCTTCTTGTTAGTTAGTTTTGTTTTTTTTTTTTTTTTTTGTCACAACAATGAGAAAAGTAACTAATATAAAGAACTGGTACCAAGAAGCGTGGCCATTGTGTGATAATCCTGACCATGGTTGGTAGTGCTGGGGACTGGCTTGTGGGAGGAATGGGGAAGTTATGACTTAAGCTGA